AAACATCGTATACGAGTATATTCTCTCCCTCTTTCTTGTTTAAGAAACGCTGTTTCTTTGACAGTACAAACGCACCCCCAGAGAATGCCTTAGATCACAGGACGGCACAGTTCCCGATGAATGCTTTGCCTTGCGTAACACATTCTTTGAGTGCAAGCATTCTATAGTAAGTATAAATGAATTTGCATATTAAATTCTCTCTAAATATTAGGGAAGGAAGTTGCACGCCTTTCCTGCGAAGAGGTCACGGCGTATGGAATACACATGTGTTAATATAGTTTACTTATTTTGTTTTCTCACAGATTGATGGTAGACGGCGGTTTAGGGGCCCTAAAGGATATTAAATAAATATTATATGAATGTGATACATACCTATACATATAATGGTAATGTAATTTCATAATTTATGTATTAATAGAAAATTTTATCTTCTATGCTTTATGAGGAAATCTATGTATATATTATATATATATATATAAGTACAAAAAGAACTTAGGAAAGTATAAATATGCATTTTATTGATAAGGAAGGGAAAATAAACGTTACGTAAATAACGTTTAATGTTAGAAGTAATTTATTGTTAAATTCGTTGTACACGATTTAATAAATCTATTACACTTGCGAAGTAACAGCGTACCATACAATTCATCACATTTACTTACGTATCGTGATATCCAAAGAGATTCTTATTCCCTTGTTGCCAGGCCTGACTGAGAAATATGAAGCTTTGTATGACTTGTTACTTTGAAGAGGTATACCTCCCTATATAGAGCAAAAGTTCTTTTTGTAGACAAAGGTTTCTCTTCTCGAAGAACAAAAGCGGTCGTATTTTAACTCTTTCAGTACACCTTTTTAGTACCATAAATTAAATATATTAATATATATTAATGTAAATTTTTATTAGTTTTTTGTAAGAAACCCAAAAACGTTTTAAGAAAACGAAAGTCCCATATTAATTTTCTTTCAGTTTCGTAATAGTAAACAATAGTAATAGTAAAACGGCATATACCTATAATCAATAAAAAAGGGCAAGAAGAAATATTTTAAATAGTTAAATAAATCTAAATTATTAAAATTCCAGCTTAAAATGTTTGAAAGTTCTTGTATTTAATTTGTTACTGAAAGGATTAATGCAGGATGTCCAGTCTTTTTAAAAATAATATCACATTGAAATTTTTCTCTACGTATGTGCAAAATACCATGTATAATCGAAATTTTTATATTTCAGTAAAATTGTACAATGACGAGAAAAGAGAATGCAGTAGCCAAATATTTTATTGACGCATTTTAATTATAATATACCGTTTCTCTTTTTGATGTACATGCTGTAGACTGGACAATATTGGCTGATTGTAGCATATTTTACAATATTGCGCTTGTTCGTCGCGCTGATTCGCACACACGGATGCATGTATCGAACATGATACGCGTATAATCACAGTAAAATTGCGAAAATTTTCTAACTTTTCGTTTTTCTTTTTTTTTTTCATTTTATTTTATCAAGTATTAAGAGCATTTTGTTCCACTTTGTGTTCAGCGAGTATACGATTCGAGCGTATGATAAAGTTACGTCGTTACCACGGGTCTGGTATTTTATTACAAATCTACTGGATGACGATCACGCCTGCGTAATCGCCCTATCTATTGTCTGTATGCAACAAGCGTATATTGGCTATACAATTTTTTTTTGTACTACAATGCCAACTCACGCTACCCTTTTCACTCTCTAATGGCTATAGGCACCTAAAAATGGGATTTTTGCAAGCTTTTCCCGCGCGTACCACGGGTTGTTCCACTCCTACCTTTCTCCCGTATGTATGGAAAAAATCTTTAGATTTGTATGCGGATAAAGTACAAATTCTCTCATTTTGTTAGATTAAATCGAGCTATGATTTCAAATAAATAATTTCTGCATGGTTACACATTTTTAAAAATGTATGAAAGAATAATTAAGACATTGTCAAAAAATTATCATTAAAAATCATTTAAGACAATAAAGATACTTGCATATATATTTTGTATCTTAAATATTTGTCTTCCTTCCAAGATGTGAGATAAGATTTATAAAAATTGTTTTATTTTACGGAATGAAGGGAGATAAAGAGAATATAATTAAAAATAAAATGTATATTTTGTTCAAATTTCTATTTCTAAAAAATGTAATTTATCCACATACATACACACACATATGACATGCCGATCGAATTTCGCGAGCGTAAAATCCGTATACGGATATATAATATCAAATATGAAGATAATCGATAGAAGACTTGAAGTTACGTTCTACCGCGTTGGCCTTCGAAGTTCCACTACCTTGTGCCTAAGTCACCTAAATTGATTTCAAGAGTAGCATTTTTTTTTTCAAAAGTAGGTTTTCAAGAGGAGTTACCCATTGTGATATATACGCCGCTGGTTCAAATATCACAGTTTATCGAGTATGATATGTAATTAGCGATTATTCGATAGTTATATCAATAGTAGTAAAAGTATGTTGCGTATATGCTTGTGTATTGCGATCGCCCGTAGGATGACCAAACCGTCTCTAATCCGGTAACACCGTATCGGCAACACGCACATCGTTATCTTTTCCATGTTAACACACGGAATGTTCCCATCTTTCAGAAAATCAACTATCGAGGATCCTCAATTGGCGCTTCATCTGTACGAGATGGATCGGACACCCGTTTTAAATATATTATTTTATATATTTTACGTATATACATTACAATATACTTTCTGCAACCTATATCAATTTTATTGCTATTCGTTCTGTATACATTTCATTTCACGCTCCGTCCGGTGACCCTACTTTGGGCAATGCTCGCGCTTGCTTAATGAACGAGATAGTAAAGTCGAAAAATACAAATACAGGTCCAGTTTGCATTATCTAATCGAGGCATGCAGGCCGTTTCGTCGATCATCGACGAGACTCGTCTAAAGCGTATATATATATACGAAGTTGCGCGCTCCTTACAATAGGTAGATAAGAAATCACAGTGTCTCGTTCGTTAACGGCGTTTGCGACGATATTTATTCTCGGTTCCTGCGAAATCAGCGATATCGCGTCTTGTTTCCCTCGCACTATGGCATTTTTTTTGTTTGTTTTTAAGTTACGTTCCTGCAATCGAAATAGACCCTTGATTAAAAATAGAAATGCTGAATAGATATTTACCGATACCATCTCGCTGTTAATCGAGGAGATGGCATCAATGTGTCGCGTTACAAATAGAATCGTGAAGTGTAAGAGCACTGGAATTTGATATGATACCGTTTCGTTCGGATTTTTCTGCAGAGCTACACGTAATGCGATTCGAAAGGATGCCCCTCGCAGACTCTAACAGTCGGCTGAGAAATCAGAAGCACACGGAGGGCCTGTAGAGCCCGGTGTATCCGCACAGGCGTGCACGAAGCGCCGGCAGAAGTATCGCCGCGGCGGATAGATTGTCTTGCAGCTGCGAGCACTCGCAGATCAACAGATACATCTTATCGCCCTGCGACATCGATTTGTGCAAGGTAATGCGCCTGAGACCCACCGATTTCGGCAGGTATCGATACATCATTCGCGCACCTGCAATATGATAAAAGCTATATATAAAGTCTTGATACGCTATTAGAATGAAACAATAAATAATTGCTTATTCATGCATGCGATTATTATTAGTATTTATGTAGATCAATGTTTTATGATATAAAATGTCAATTTTTAATGGGACAATTATATCAATATTTGATACATGATATAAAATATCAATTTTAATAGAATATTTATATTTTCATATAAATATATAGATATTTAAAATAAATTTATATTATTATTTTATATTTAGTATGATATTCTTTAAATTATTTAACATGTCGATCTTTTGAAAACGAATTCTTCAGATTGATCAAGGTCGATCTTTTAGCCCCGAGAAAAATAAAATTCTGTAGTTTTAATAAATCAAAATAATTGATTTAATAAATCAAAAGACTGAAACATTGCACTTTGTGCGGCGTTTTAATTATATTTTCTTATTAAAATGCAGTTATATTTATTTATTGAATTCTCTTTCTCTTTTTCCTTATACGATTTTAAATCATACCGCGCGGGCAACAGAGTACTTTAAAAAAAGAAAGTAAAGATAGAAATTTATACTGAAATATTTTTTTTTATCGTAAATAACGAGAAGTTATTAATTTCGTGACAATGCTCACGGCGATAACTATTTCATTAGTTTGGACTCGAGATTTATGACCGCGTCGTATTTTCAGTTTTCAATTTAGAGGTGCAGTATAACAATTGTTCGCGTTCAAACGCGCGCGCGCGGAGTAATATAAATACGGATCGCCGAACCAAGTGCTCTCAAATAACTCGAGAAATTGTGATATATTCGTGATACGAGCGTTTATCCAACAATACGTGTATGTACCTCGCGAGAATCTGCGTGTTTGAAAGACATTTATACTCGCGCGCAATCCGATTTTCATATGTTTTCAAAACGGTGTACCCGACGCGTCGTTTCGCGCGTAAAGTTGGCAGCCTGCGGTGTATGCCGTGTATCGGAGCTTTGCGGAGCTTTGCGGACGGGTATTCGAGCGACATCGCGACGAGTTTAAGTTGTTAATGCAGTCGTAACGAGCCGCGTATTTCGATATTTGTCAACTGCATAACGTAAGTTCGACGCTCGTATGGAGGTGGACAGGGAAAAGGCGTATTTTGCGAGATTTATCCGATTGAAATCTGCCGCTCGGAGCGGACCGGAGCAACCTAACCGTTTCCGAAAGTTGCAAATTCGGCCGTAGATAATCGTACTTAATTCTCCCGCACGCACGTTGACGCTTCTTCTCGTATTATTCCTTTCGCAATATAATAAAATATATAATCATGCCTCCTGGGAATACAAAGCGTGCTAGCGTGTGTGCGATTAATCTCGCGATTAACGGGAGCGCCGCGCAAAGTGCCGCGCGATTGTTATATTCTTAATGATTACATGCGTGATTATACAATAATTAACATGTATGTTTTGTGTGAGCAGGTATTGTGTGTCCGTGTGTGCCGGCAAAGGAGCAGCAACGGGGAGAGGAGGAGGAGGCCAGGGAGGCAGCGGGCAACGGTGGAGCAACCGAGAGGTGAGCATCTCGTTATTTATATTTATTTGATATATTTATTCTTTGTGGAATTATTAAGTTGTTTGCACGGAATTTTATAGTTGTTATCCCGTATTATCATTGCATGATGTATATAATATATCTTATTTGATTTTGAGAAATATTAAAAATTATTTAATAAAATGTAGTTTAATGATGAAGATGTTATTGATGAAAATCTACAAAAAATATTTCAATATGTTTAAGATTTGTAATTGCTTGGATTAGAATTAGAGAATATTAAATTGTTATTTATAAAATTTTATAAAAATCAATATTTAGCAAGCTCACTCTCGAAAATTATGCAATATTATTTTTTTTACGCAAGACTCTAATTTAGATATATTTGTATTTTACAGGTTAACATCGTGCAACTCCACTGTTGCGCATCGTGCCGGTAAATTCTGAATTATACATATAGACATATTAGACATATAGACACCCACCTGTCCAGTAGAGCCAGTTTTGTTCGAACTTGAGACCGTCGTCGCCCTCGAAAACTTTGAAAATCGACACTATGTAGCCGGTGGACGGAATAGGCGGTCTTCCACCGGGTGGTTCGAGCGGCGGTCTCGCGATGGTCGCTACCTCGTTGAACAGATCCAACGTGTGATTAGCCGCGTATCTGAGATCTCGAGGGTCGAACTTACGTAGAGCCGCGCATTGCACTTCGTTGTAAAAATCTACGGGGTCCGTGCTCTGCTTGTTTATTAGATAATACGTGATGAACGGGAAGTCCGCTGAAACACACGGGAATTCGGCTTAAACGATCTTAAAAGCACTCGTCGCTACCTCGCCCGTCTTCAAATGACGGATAGTCCGATTTTACGTACTGTTCTTCTCCATATTCGTAAGTAAAATGCTTTGCGATGCGGAGGGTGCTATCTCGGCGACTAGC